TTTCCCCCCTCTTCTGGACAGGTTGGTGAAAATTGCCCCTCAATATTATGACATGAGCAATTTCCCACAGTGTGAAGCAAAGAGACAGTTGGACCGCATCATTGCCAAACTTCAATCCAAGGAATATTCACAGTACTGAATTCAATGCTTAGAACTGAAGTTATTCAGAGGACAGCTTTAAAAGATGAATGAACTGAAAAGTTCAAGTTGTGCTCTTCACGTTGGTTCAATAATGGCCTTTATTTGAAAGCTTTTTAATTTTTCTTTACAGTAAATATTCCATTCTGATTTCATAAATTAAACATTTATGCCTCCCTTTTATGTTGACACTGTAGCTCATACTGGAAAAGTCGATCAATGTTTTGCAGTTTATTGAAAGTAGTTCTATATATAACAATGTTATAAGCATTTCTTTAGAAATGGTTGAAAATGCTTCTAAAATGTGATTATCGACCATGGTATGCATGATCGTTGTAATTGTTGACATTCCTTTTTAGAAGTTGTGAAATGTTACAACTTGTGCTTATGTAGACACAATCTTCTGTCTCAGTACAGAGGCACTGACTTCAATAAAGTCTATTTATACTAATTTTGGCCAAAGTACTTTGATACCTTTGTTCTAGTCTCTAAGTCTGGCTTCTTTTCTTCCCAAGTGTGGGCTTGTTTTAAAAATGTAAGTACACTCTGATTACATATTTAGCATCTTTCCACAAAGACTACTCTTTAGATAAAGTAGTCTTTAAAGCAATAGTCTTAAACACACAGCTTTGCACTTTATTAATTGATTAGGATCTGATCTGATGGGATAAAGTATGTGGTTTTTATTCAAAATTGGATCCAAAAAGGAGAGCTTTCTCTTCATCTTAAAGTGCATTTCATAGGTTTGATAATTTATTATTTTTGTTAACCACATTTTTAGCAAATCTTTCTGTTAGAGAAACAGTCTAAGCACTATACTATGGAAAAAAATGTTAATTGTATTAATAGATAGTAGGGAATGATACTATATGTAGATCTTGGTCTTGGTTTCAGTATTAGGTGTTTTATGTGATGTACAAAAGTAATTAGTATAGTATGTAAAATGTGCATTTGACTTTCCATTCCTGTAACAGGCAGTAGACAAGTTACAAATTCTTTCTAAATCATAAATAAAATGTGTTTGGTGTGACCCATCAAAGGGTCTGTAATTACTTCCTTTCGCTTAAAGACTAAATACTGTACTCATTAATTCCTGGACACCCTTCTTCAACCTCTCCCCCTTTAAAAATATTTAAATGTTAAAGGAAATTTATAAATTGTGTGTATAGTTGGAGTTTAAATATACTTTGAAGCATAAATCTAGTATGTGATTTGAGAGAGTTAATTGGGCAAATTAAAGGGTATTTCAGGCTACTGGCATACTTCGGCGTGTAGGTAGTTATTAAATGATGCCTGGTGGCTTAAAGGACTTAATGTGCTTCTGTAAGTATCTGATTTTTGTTCCTGTGGAACAATTTACATGCTGATACAATATTTTAGATTACTTTTAAATTGGTTAACATTTTATCCTACATTAAGTATTGGCGACGTTATCTGCTAGAGTTTTAGTTAGGTTAAGAAAGTACTTGGTCCATCTTTTTCACAAAAAGGCAGCTCTTGTCAAATTTTTATGTTGCCTACTCATTGTTTCCAGTTTTGTAAGGCTGGCCACATCATATAAAACTGGCAATTTAATATTTTGTTAACATTTTTAGCAAATTTCTTAAGTCATTGATGTTATTGGCAAAGCTATGGCTTTAAAGCTCGTGTTCTCCAACCTTTGTTTTATAGATGTGGCAACTGATTACTAAACTGGTTATAATTTCCCATGTTCACCTAGGTCACAACAAGAAAATTAAAAACTTTTTCTATAATGTGTAGAAATTGTTTTTGAAGATTTTCTGAAGCAATACCTATAAATACTTGAGATTCTCTTCTGAATAACTTTTAATGGCCATCCCTCTGCTCAGATACTTTAAAGAAGTCCATTACTTTGTTAGTTCTGTTAGAAATGTTGAGTTAAAATCTGTTTCTAATTCTTCCTTCCAGAGCTGTTAGTAAAGACTGTTTCAGAATACCATTTAACTGTCACCTTCCTTTATTCTTAGGCTGTTTTCCCCTCAGCCTCCCCTTCTTTGACATGGTTTCTGGATATCCTAAACAACCTCTGCCAGGCATTCAGCACTCTGGTCTAAAATGGGCAGCGTGCAGTGGAACTTAAAATTCCGGGGGGACCAGACATGCCATCATTTCTGTTAATGCAACTTATGGCTAACATTATAACGAAATTTGATAACATAATATGATTTATATTAACCTTTCCAGCACGCTTTCAGCTTATATTAATCTTACTATAAATTTAAGGCTTCTAATTATTACATGATAGCTTTGTATATGGCTCAGGGCTGAGAAAAGACCCTTGGACCATGGAAATCTTTGGAGACTTCACACATTTAAATGTATCCATAGTTCATCCAATAACATTTAAAATATCAAAGGCATTTTTTAAATTGCTTAGGATAGGAATATCTAATATTATAATGAGAAACATGCATTGTTTTCAAATTCAGTTTTTATCTATTGAGTTTTAAAATAAAGTTAACATTTGATATATACTCCATTAAACATCTATTTAAATTTTATAGTTTCTTCTAATAGAGAAAGTATGGGAGGAGATAGTGTTCAGAATTTTTAGTAGCGGCCTGCTACCATACCTATGGGTAAGTGACCTTGGAGATAACCATTGCACGAGTGCTCAAGTTATCTTTCCATCGCCAAGACAAACGTGTTTATTGAGCATTTCTTATTGCAGTGAATTTCGGTACATACTGCTCAGATTATGGGAACTTATTTTGTTTACTTGCATTATTTAATTTGAACTTCGTAATTCCTCATTTTTAGGATATTTGAACTTAACCAGCAAAAATCTCTACCACCTATATCATTCACTTAGCCCAAACCTGAGAGTTACTTATATTTAGCAAAGTTGTTTTCTTTAATTACTATACGGGCACATTTTACTGTTTGAAAAGATGCTATTTTTATAGTCTTCGTTTATAATTAATAATAGACTAATAAATGGAATCTGATTGAGAACTCAAATCATAAACATGAGAAAACCACATTTATGTATGTTGGTTTTACATTTAATGTTTTCAAACCTAGCCCCCTGATTCCAGTTTTGTTTTGCTTGTAGTGTTCCTTTATAGAATTTCGGTAAAAACTGCTCAGTGATACCAGTCATTGTTCATTTCATTAAGCACTATCTCTGGAAGGCATTGTGTGAGACTATAAAAACAGGATAGCTTGAATAATGGGCCAGTTGTAGCTTTAAAAAATGTGCAAAGACCTGAGTTGTAAAGAAAGGTATAGTTAATGTGTTAGTGAAAAGATTAAAGACCTATAGTAATCATAAAGGGAAAGGTAGGTTAAGATTAGGCAAATATTCAAGAAAGTGATTTATAAATAAGCAAGTTAAATAGTTAAGAGTGAGTCATTGGACTCAGATTAGCTTACATCCCTGGTTCTAGCCAGTTGTCATGGCAGAATTCCTGATAGTATTTCAAACAAAGCTGGAAATACAAATTTATATATAAAATGTTAGAAATTACAGTTTCTTAATTTTTTGGTTCTCAGACTCTTAAAGCTGGGTTCTGGGCAGCTGTTTATAACTTCTGCATTAAATAATTGGAGAAGTTAGGTGAAGGAGGTTTAACCGGACTTTAAAACATTAATTTCTTAAGCATCTTTGATGATTAACAGCATTTCAAGCCATGGGCAGTTTTTAAAGTTGGGCTTAAGTACACCCAGTATAAAGTCACTTTTTAGCTCTACAGACAAATGTGTACAGTAGGTCCTCGGGTTACCTCAGAGCTCTGTTGCTATGGCATGACGTTTTCACCATGAGTCGGAACCCATCTACATAAGCACCTACGTCACATGGCACACATACACAACAGTAATGAAGTGAAACAGTAAAAAAATTTTTAAAAAAAGGAACAATTCCTGACCTTGTGGTAAATCATCTATACTAGTAAAAGAATACTACATGAATTGGTCATGATGCTTTCACAATAACAACCTAACAGCAGGCTGTGTGGGGTGACCAGGCCAGCAGAGTGGGTTGTTGAGGGACAACCAAAGACTGAACAGTCTGCGGGGTGACTAGGCCAGCAGGGGGGCAGTTGGGGGCGACCAGGCTGGCGCCGGGGTGGGATGGGGAGGTAGAGAAACGGGGGTGATCTGGCAGGTGTAGGAGCCAGTGGTACTGGATTGTGAGGAATGTCCAACTGCCAGTTTCGGCCCGATACCTGGGAAACGCAGTCGGACATCCCCCAAGGATTTTGGCTGGGCTGAGGGCACCAGGCCTCTAGTATCTAATAAAGAGGGAATATGCTAATTTGCCCTCATGCTATCACAAAGATGGCAGCACCCACAGCCAATAAGGGAATATGCTAACTGTCAAAGATAGGACTTAGGTCTGCTGGGGCAGCTGGCCACTCTGCGCCTGCCTTCGAAGTCCTCCAGTCCTCTAAGCCCCCCAGCCACCCAGGGCTGGCCCAAGGCGCAGGCAAGCCTCAGTGGCTGCCCAGCCACCCAAGGCTCAGGTAACCAGGACCAGCCTAGGCTTGTGCTGCCGGCAGTGGCAGCAACAGGTGTGATGGGGCGCCGCCTTCCCCTGATCAACAGGTCAACTCCTGCCCCTGAGGGCTCCTGGACTGTGAGAAGGGGCAGGCCAGGCTGAGGGATCCTCCCCTCCAATGCATGAATTTCATGCACTGGGCCTCTACTAAATAAAAAAAAAAAAAAAAAAAAAAAAAAAAAAAAACAACAACAAAAAACGGGAGGTCTGGTCACCTTATATTAGGCACCTGTGTGAATGAGGTGAGTCTGGTTCTCCATTCTGGCTTAAAGTTCACAAGAAAATGGGGGTGGGGGGTGGGGTGGGAACTGCACTGCATGCCAGGTCCGTAAGCGAGAAGGCGATCTTGTGTTACTTGTGACTTGTTTCTTTATTACCACGTGGATTTTCAGCGCAACCGTTTCTTGATTATGTTTTAAAATGGATCAGTGACATCCTAGTCAGAAGTGAACAGAATCCCAAAGTCACTTGTTCAGTGTTAGGATGCAAAATACTTCCAAACCAAAACGAAGCACGCATCTTCTTGCTGATGCACGTGAAATGCCTTCCCCCAGGTCTTGGCGCCTTTGCGGTATTCTCCGTGGACCCTGTGGCTGAGCTTAGGAAGGGCTGGAGCCAGGCCATATGTCACATGTCCCTCGTACCTACCCTGAGGCCTGGTGTGCACCTTTTCTGCAGGTATTTAAAAACTATAGCTGCTGTGGTTCTTGTATTTTCTTTTTAATAGTGCTGTTTCCTCCTTCCTCACTGAGATGATGGAACTTCTTGGGCCGGTCCTTTTACCCAGTTGGCCAGAAACCAGTTTGCCCAAGGAGGAAAGTAGGAATATGATGTAATAAACTGCCAACTCTGCCCTTATCCAGCAGTGAGATCCTGGATTTGTGACTTAGCTAACCTGCCTCATTGTTTATAAAGGGGGGTTGTTTTTAAAACCTAGCCAAAGGATTGATTTCACTAAACGAAATAATCCATATAAGTAATACCTGGTCCAGTGGATGGATACCTGTAAGTGAGAGGTATTTCTTGGGCCCTGACTAAGCCCAGTCTTGGACTCTGAAATATTTATTGTGACCTCCGTCCAGACAGGTTGCCTTGCTTAATCCCGGACTCTAGGATACTTAAAGTCACCTGGAAAGATATTCCCCTCTGTAAACAACGATGCTGCTATGAATATGACAAGATTTAGGAAACCTGAATCTTTTCCTTCCCTGATTATATGTCAGGGATGCTTGCAGGAAAGTTTCCAGAAAGAATGTCTTGAAGGAATCCCAAGCTTTTTGTGGGTAATCCACATGTTTCTGTGAGTTGTGTGGCTGTTACAGATTCTGTGCTGTGATCTGCTGAAGTCGGTGTCTGATTACAAGTAAGTGACCAAAATATTTGTCTGCGGGGGGAGGGGAGTAAAGTGGGGGTGGTGGGTGGGGGCAGTGCAGTTAGGTAGCAGGGACCTCAGACTTTTTGAACTGTTGGGCAGAAACAATTATTTTTCTTGTGTAGCTTCTTTTTCCAGTCCTATAAAGGAAGACAGACAAATAGTTCAATGACTAAAGTAAGGACATTCGCTTACTATATTTTATATTGAACAATAATACCGATAGTATTTATGTAGGTATGATATCTACCGAATCTTTTTTTTTTTCAAAATTAATTTTCAAATTTTCATTGTGAGAAGGAATATGAGGTATCTTTTGCCAAGTTTATCTGGTTAGTAACTATAAGCACTCTAGATCACAAAATCATACGTTTTATTATTATATTGGAACAATACAAACACCTACTAGACGTAACCTAAAAGTTGTCTGTGTTTTGGGGGTTTCCCAAAGAATTTCTAGGCCTGCTAGATTGATGTTTGAAGTTTAAAGTTTTCCTCTCTATTAAAAAATAGAAAACTTAGCAAAACTGATAAATGGCAGTTCATCACTTTCCCACTTTTTATTTCCAAGTCATTATCTCCTTTCTGAATATGGCATTGCAACCCTAGTTTCTCCCCCCCCGCCCCCCCTTTCTTTTCTTTTCTTTTTTTTTTTTAAACGTTTGGCACTAAAGCATTTGAGATAAGTCCTAGTGTTGCAGAAATCCTGAATCCTAGCACCCGGGGGTTAAAAGAAGTGCAGTGACAGGCTGTGAAATAGTGTTGTCATAACTTATCAGTGGCCAGTAAATAGGGTAGTTGCCTTCTGACACCGTTTTGAGTGAAGGCGGTCTAATTGCATTGCCTCTGTTTAGATAAGCATGTGGGACGTGTGAATGCTGTGGTTAAAGTATTTCCATTCTATGAGATTTGATTTCTCAAGTGATTTTTTCTTCCTAAGTTCCACTTTACTCAAAAGTTATTTGGACAATGTCGCTCACTGTATGTGTACATGGAGAAACAGCTCTAAGAGTGTATGAATCCAGTGGCTGTTAAGAATCAAAATTTGCAAATACATGATTGACAGTGGGTGATTTACCTCCATGCATCGCCCTATCCCCTTGCCCCCCAATATTAAAATCCTACGAAAACAATTCTGATTAAAAATTTGTAATCTTGCCAAAACCGGTTTGGCTCAGTGGATAGAGCGTCAGCCTGCAGACTGAAAGGTCCTGGGTTCGATTCCAGTCAGGGGCATGTGGGGAGTGTGCAGGAGGCAGCTGATCGATGTTTCTCTCCCATCGATGTTTCTAACTCTATCCTCTCTCTTCCTCTCTGTAAAAAATCAATAAAATATATTTTAAAAAAAGAATTTGTAATCTTTAGTTGTGTTATTTTTCATTGGAGAAGACTCCCTCCCTGCCAAATGAAGATCCCAGTTTCCAGGCATATCACATTCATGCTTCCAGCCTCATTGCTTCCTGTGGCATAAACAGCAAACACTTAACCCACCAAGCTGCACCACTCCGAGAGGAGGACTGCAGCTATTTGAGCTAATTTTTGCTTGCTTTGTCAATTCACATTTTCTACTGGATTGAAAATCCACTCTGGTTTGCAGTGGGGATGGGTTTTATCCTGATGATTCAACCTTTCTGATTTTCCACAGAGAAGAGTTTTAACCTTAGCAGTCATGTAGCACTTTAAAATGCAAAACAAGAATTTGACTCTGGCTCTTAAAATGATACTCTGTGTGCTGCTTTTGTGGGATGGGTGGGCCACATGAATGGATAGTTTTTGTTGCAATGGCAGCAGCTGTCATAAAATCAGTGCTGGAAGGGACCCCTGAAGACACCAATTTCACACCCTCCTTTTCGAAGAAAACCAAGGCCCTGAGATAGCTGGGTTCTCTTCAAGGCCATTCAGTTGGCTATTTTTTCATTCTAAGGGCTGACTTTCCTCCTTCCCGCAGTTATATATATATTGTAGCTTTTATGTATAATTCCAATTGATTTCTGCTTTCCCCTAGTAAACAAAAAACTGTTTCAATTATGCCAGGGGCATTAAAAGAATTTGGATAATAGTTAACCAAAATATTTGTGTGTATTAACGTAGTGATTTAACTGTGGAGGAAGTTTTTTGTATTGTTTTTACATATATATATATATGTAAAAAATGTATATATATATATATATATATATATATATATATATATATATATATATTTCAGAGAGGAAGGGAGAGAGAGAGAGAGAGAGAAACATCAGTGATGAGAGGAAATCATTGATTGCTTGCCTCCTGTACACCTCATAGTGGGGATCGAGCTCCCAACCCCGGCATGTGCCCTGACCAGGAATCGAACTGTGACCTCCTGGTTCATAGGTCAATGCTTAACCACTGAGCCGGGGCTAGAGGAACTTGTAACCTTTGTTAATTTCAGCCTTTTTTTTTCCTGGTCATTTGATTAGCATCTGATATAGATGTGAAATCTTAGTCCTTTACAACTAAAGATGAAGTATATTTCTCATTACATTTTCAGATAATGCATTACCATTTCTTGAGGAAAACTGTTGAATTGTGGGAGAAAAACGTGTTTTGATTTGCCCTACCATTTTTTGAACACGACTTTTATGTGCCAGGCACTGTGCTATTTCAGCACATAGGCACTAAACTTATCAGTTCTTCACAACAGCCCAGCCACGGAAAGTGAGGTGCAGTGAGGTTATGTAATCTAAGTCAGGTCTAGGACTAGTAAGTGAGAGAGGAGCTGGCTTTGAACTCTTGAAGGTGGGGGTGGCGTTGGGGAGAGTGGGGCCCCAAAGCCAACTATATCTAGAGTAATGTTCTTCCCTTTAACATACCTTGCCCCACTGCAAAGCTGAACTTCACTATCATATCTGTGCCACTCAGGATGTGCTCTTTTGAAGGCTCAGGATTTATGTAGAAACTAGAGACCTGCTGCACGATATTCGTGCAAGAATAGGCCCCTGGCTTCACTCCCGGTCAACTGGGAGCCAACAAATCCCTGCTTACCACCCCAGCTGCCCAGGAGATGGCAAGTTCCTGCCCCTGGCCACCTGAGAGCAGGCAAGTCCCTGCTCTGGCCGCCTGGAGCCAGCAAGTCTTTGATTCTGTCTGGAGCACCACTCCAGTAGCTCCCTCTGCCATCCCTCTTCCCCTCATATTAGGCTTTACACTGCTCTGCCTGCCTATGCAAATTAATCTCCATCTTTGTTGGGTTAATTTGCATACTCTGGCTGTGGGCATAGTGGAGTGATGGTTAATTTGCATGGCTCTTTTTTTTATTAGGTAAGATTGCAGTTCTACTCTACCTTTTCCTCCCTTTCCTCCTGCCCGTCTTGCCATGTTGGCAAATATCAAAAGCACACCCAGTCACACGTCCATATTTGAACTTTTAGTCCTTCCATCCTCATCCTGGAGGTTTTCTCTATGTTTCCTGACTTACTAAGCTATGCATTTTGAAAGATACTGTGTGATTCTCCCTCCCCCCAACTGGTGGGCAGAGTTATGACATTACTGGCATCTGTCACAGAGACATCACCAAGACATTGAACCATCAATCAGCGCATGCCAAAGTGCCCTGGAGCCCACCCCTTCCTGTTCCACCCTAGGTCCAACCTTTCCTGTTCCTCCCCTTAAAAAGACCCCCCGGACCAGCCACGTGTTGCTTCTCTCCATCGACATCCATGGAGGCAGCCCAGCTGGGTCCTCTTCCCGTCTCCCCACTCCTTCAATTCTGATTTCTCTACCTTTGTAATGAGTCCCACTTATTACTGGAGAATAAACTTTACTTTAAAATGTCTTGGTGGTCAGTTTCCTGCACCTCAAACCTTACAGATATTACATATATTTATGTTTATTATATGTTACATATATTCCCCCTTCATTTCCAGCTGTTACGGGAAGTTTTCAGGTCATCCGGATCTAGAAGTTGACCACTCCCCCTTAATCTTTAAATCGAGAGAAAATATAGCGGCCACATCACAGTACCGCCTAATGAATTATTTGTACAGATGTAGAAAAGATAAATATTTGCCGAACCCGGTTTGGCTCAGTAGTAGAGCATCGGTCTGTGGACCGAAAGGTCCCGGGTTCGATTCCGGTCAAGGGCATGGTTGCTGGCACATCCCCGATAGGGGGTGTGCAAGAGGCAACTGGTCCATGTTTCTAGTTCTCTGTCTCCCTTCCTCTCTGTAAAAAATCAATAAAGTATATTAAAAAAAAAAGATAAATATTTATTGATGTGAGCAGAGGAGTGAAGTTTAGTGAGCTTTCCCTGACATTGACATGCATGGGCCATCCAATTCTCCCTCTTTTCACAAATCTCACGTGAGCTCTGTGGGCATAATTAAATGGGCTTGATAAACCCTCTCTCTTTTCTTTTCCCTGGATACCTGACACCTAGCTGTCAGACTTTGAAACCTACACACTTCCTTGCCCAGGTTAACTTAGAACAGTGCAGCTGGCTCTTAGCCTCATGCCTCTCACACTCTCATGTTCCCTGTGGACACAGACAAGGTGGCTGAGACACTGAGCTGGGAGCCAGCGTGGCGGAGCCACAGTCTTCAGATGAATCTAAGCTATCCCTCACAGGGACCTGGCTTGAGGAGATGAGGATGTGGAACCACCTTTTTGCTCCGTGTCCTTACTACTTGACTGTTGAGCTTTAGTTTATCCCCTCATCTACTGGACAAGGGATAAAAGTAGCGCCTCATCTTCCCTCCGCCCCCAGGGAGGTCAGAATCTAAAGTCAGTCCTTATGGCGAAAAACATGATATACTATTAATAGTAGTCCAAATGAAATCTCCGCAAGAAGTGATGTGTTAGCTGTGATGTGTTAGCTGGGCTATTTTAAGGGGGGTAGGGGAGAAGGCCAGTTTTTCCTCCAATATTGAAAGAGCACGGTATTTAAGGTGATACTGTAATAGGCCATCACTCAGAGGCCATTTTGCAAACAAACAGCAAAATGAGAATTCCATTCACAAGAAACACTAAGAGGCAGGCAAATCTTAAGCAAACAGCAGGTTCACACCTATTTCATAGACTCAAGGTGTTTTCCCTCAGAGTGGTGGGCAGTTATTCAAACTGTTTATATTGGGTTTTCTGTTTTTCTGTGTGTTTGATGACACCTTGTAATTATCACGTTTAATTAATTGATTGCTATCTTGGATATGTGAGAATTACATTGGATAATCATTGTGACAAATGCTCCATAAACTAAGATCCCTGTGGTTGTCATTAATGCGATTCTCCAACTATACCAGGCAGGTGGTAGGTTTTCATATATCCCTTGAAGTTAGGTATGGCCATGTGACTTGCTTAGGCCAATGGGACAGAGCAGAAATGAGATGGTTACATTTGAGGAGAAGGGGTAAGTCAATATCAATATCCCTTCTCTCTCCCCCTCTGCGATGGCAACTTTCCAGAGTGTGGTGACCACAGATGGAGATGAACAAGAAATAAACGTGGTGTGGGAGCCACTGAATTTGGGGGATGTATAACTTAGCCCACCCTGACTGATGCACACACACACACATGCAGGTCTTACGTGGTCTTGTGCTATTTGACACAGGGCCTGAGCCAATCAACAAGGCTTATGGTAAGGGTACAATTTGAATAAAGTATTTAAAAGGAATACTTTTGAACTTTAACGGGAAAAAGATAGCCCCGGGATCCTTCAAGGATATGTTTGAGTCATGCCCTATTTTCACTAACCTAACATGAGCATTCATATAAAAAGGGGGAAAATTGCTACTTAGTGAGTCCCTTCTCTGTTCCTGGCACTAATTGCACAAATGAACTCATTCAATTCTAAGTAGCACTGGGGAGAACCTTGGGTATTATTTCTACTGCTCAATAGAGAAAGTAAGCCTGAGAGATATTCAGTGTCCCAGGTCACATAGCTAGCTAATAAGCAGATGAGAAAATTATTCTAGAGGCACAAAATGCTACTTTAATGTACGGTGACAACTTCAGCTTAAATTTGAAAATTGGATAGGGGTACCTGCTTGCTGAAGATGAGTTGCCCAACTTAAGGGTTAATTATTCTTATTCTGAGTTTAAAGGGGAAAATATAAATCATCCCCACTATACCTTGACCTTTCCGGTGCCTACCAGATAGTAGAAGCTCCAAGAAATTGTGTTCCAGCCATCTACTAATATTTAACAAACAACCTCAAATTGAGTGGGTTATACCAGCGTTTTTCAACCGCTGTTCCGCGGCACACTAGTGTGCCGCGAGATGTTGCCTGGTGTGCCGTAGGTGCAGACAAGACAAGAATTTTATAATTTTTCACTATTTTGTTTACTTAATATTTCATAATAAAGTAATTATAAAATACTTTCTTTGTGTTTATTTGATTCCTATTCAAGAGAATTACTTTATATATAGTCAATATAGGCACAGAGTTAAATTTTTTAACATTTTCTAATGGTGGTGTGCCTCGTGATTTTTTTCATGAAACAAGTGTGCCTTTGCCCAAAAAAGGTTGAAAAACACTGGGTTATACAACCATCGCTATATTCCGTGAATGTGGGGTCAGGTGATTGAAGAAGGCGTGGTGAGGGCTAGTTAGTAGCTCCCTGGCTGAAATCGCTTGAGGGGGTGGGCAGATCCACTGCCCACATGGGGCCCTCACCTGGTTAACTAGGGGCTGCTGGCCGAAGGCCGGAGCTCAGCTGGAGCTTTACGTGGCCCTTCATTGGGCAGCTTGGTCTTCATTGAATGGCTGGGTCCAAAGGGCTGTGCCAGAAGCTGCAGTGTTTCCCAGGACCTTGCCCCAGGAGCCGCTGAGCTTAAGTGCCGCCACAGCTTCTTGGCCAAGCCAGCCTGTTTCCAGGGGAGGGAAGTTAGACCACACCTGTTGAAAGGAGGGGCACCGGTGGATTGGCACCTGGCCTTACCCAGCCAAGAATGGCAAGTCCTCCTATTCCATGTGGTCCTGGGGCATGAGGTCAGCACAGGCGCTGGGCTGTGTGCTGACCAAGGTTCTACTCAGCTCAGCCCCGCAGCTGCTGCAGCTGGAGCAGCAGCTGGGCCCTGCCTGTCTCCAGTGGCCTCTCCCTGAACTGGGGAGCGCAGGCTGCAGAGCCAGCCGTGCGACCAGCTGTCCCTGGGGACTCTGCTTTTTCTTCCCTTTTTTCCCTTCTCTGTGTGTGTGTGTGTGTGTGTTGGTAACTTTTATCTATCAAGCTATTTATAGTTCTTGATTTTATTTTACTAATAATCCATTAAGTACTGGTTTCCATTCCCGCCACCCCCCCAGGTTTATTGAGATATGATTGAGACACAGCACCGTATAAGTTTAAGGTGGACAGCACAGTGACCTGTATTTAGCGGTAAGTGATTATCACAATAAGTTAACATCGCCACCTCATATATTTATGAAAAGCTTTTTCTCCTTGTGATGCGAACTTTTGCAGTGGCTCTCAGCCTTTCTAATGCCGGGACCTCTTAATACAGATCCTCATGTTGTGGTGACCCCCCAACTATAAAATTATTTTCCTTGCTACTTCCTAACTGTAATTTTGCTGCTGTTATGAATTGTAATGTAAATATCCGTGTTTTCTGATGGTCTTGGGCTCTACAGCAGCAACCCACAGGTTGAGAACCGCTATCAGGGTAACCTAAGACCATTGGAAAATACAGGTATTTACATTACGATTCATTAACAGTAGCAAAATCACAGTTATGAAGTAGCAACGAAAATAATTTTATGGTTGGGGTCACCACAACATGAGGAACTGTATTAAAGGATCACGGCATTAGAAAGGTTGAGAACCACTGCTTTAGGGTTTTACACTCAGCAGCTTTCAAATAGAGCAGTGCTAACTAAGTCATCATGCCATGCATAACATCCCCAGCACTTATTTACCTTATGATTGGAAGTTTGTACCTTTTGACCACCTTCATTCAATTCCTCTGCCCTCCACACTGGTCACAAATCTGATCTCTTTTCTGTGAGTTTTTTTTTTTTTTTTTTTTTTTAAGATTCTATATATAAGTGAGGTCATACAGTATTTGCCTTTTTCTATTTGACATATTTCACTTAATATAATGCCTTCCAGATCCATCCATGGTGTCTCAGGTGCCAAGATTTCTTTTTTATGGCATTAAAAATGGCACGAGTGGTATTCGTGTGTGTGTGTGTGTGTGTGTGTGTGTGAATGTGTGTGAATGTGTGTGTGACATTTCCTTTATCCATTCATCTGTCAGTGGACACCCAGGCTGTTTCCACATCTTGGCTGTTATAAATAGTGCTACATGGACTGCACTCTTCAAAGCCATTCCAATGCACAGCCTTAGCAAAACCTCTGGTTCTGTTAGTGAACAGAGCCGCTTCATGAATAAACTCGCCTCCTGTGCTAATTCTTTGGCTCTGGGCCCCCTGGTGTGAAGCAACTCGATGGCGAGTTTATTTATTTTGTCTTCTGGATTCTCTCTGGGAGTCCTGGCGAATGCTGAAATGGTTCCGCATGATGTAGAGACTATAGGTTTCTCTCCGGTTCCGGTTCAGCTTTTGTTTTATAACTTGGACTTTCCATACGTATCTTGCACAGACACATTTTTCTCTGTCCTTGAGGCATCTGTATCTATTCACTATGCAAGTGTTTAAAGTCTTATCTCGTCCCTCTCATTTTGCTCCTCATTCGACAGGACCAGCATGTCTCAGTGTGAACATTAAAGGATGTCCTACGTCTGTAAAAACCCTGATGTCAAAAAGGAAATGCCTACGGGCTTCAGCAAAACCCAGCAGACCGGTTTCTTTGCTGCAGAACTTCTCGGGACCTTTAACAAGTGACTGTGTATGTTGTGTTTCAGAGAAAATAGCGAAGGTCACTTTTTATGGACTGTCCGACCCTAGATCCTTTTCAGAGAGCACTCCCTCCTCCCCAAGCACTTATGTTCTTTGGGACACACTTGGGGAAATGTAGGCCTAACCTGATGCTCCTTTTGTGGTGATGGGGGAGGAGCACGGGGCACACCATTGTGTGAGTGTGTACGTTTCAGGTTTCTGCACACCTTCTCTTCCTCCAGGCAAAGTTGAGTGCTGCCCTCTCCTGGAGTCCTGGGGGGCAGCCTGGTAGAGTAAGAAAATGGGGTTCCATTGCAGTTTCTCCTCTTAGCTCTGTGATCCTGGGCAGGTTAGCTTCAATCTCCCAGGTATGATATGTGGTTTATACAACTTCCCGAGCTGTGGCAATGGTAATACACATACAGGTGGGGCTGGAGTAGGTGCGGGGATATGCCAGCTTCCCTTCCCAATCCTGGGTCGGATCCACCACTGGGGACAATGAATGAACGCGCTCGCCCCCTAGTGGGCATTGCTGTCTCTGCCACCCTAGTCCACCCATCCTGATAGAGGACTGGATGGCTCCTATATTGTTGGCTCCTTAGCGACTGTTCCCCATTGGTCTGTGGGTGATTCATTTTAGACAAATGAATCAATGAATTATTTGAATGAAGATGATACATTTGAGAGCAGAGATTGTGGGTTCTCTCACCAGCAAGAGACGAAGTACCATCCTCATTATACAGATGCTGGCCTTAAGGTCACACAATGTGACAGATAGGGTGACTCAGGGACTCATGGATGGGCTGTTTCCACCCAGCTGAATGCTCTGTAGACAACCAGAATATTCGCTATATCAGATGTGGCTCCTAAATGGGAGAGAAGAGAGGTGTGATGTGCCTGATTCTACCTATGATTCAAGTTTATCTCTAATCCCTATCGGCCTTGCAAATAGTAGGCAGTCAGTGATAACGAAAGTTATTGTTCACCAAGAGCACGGTCTGCCAGAAACCATTGCAAGGGTGTGACTTCTTTAATCCTTACGAAGAGCCTTGGAAGATGGCAGACTGTCTCTCAGTCCCGCGTTGGAGCAGAGAAAACAAGCCCAGAGCATTTGAATAACTTGCTTAAGATCACACAGCAAATGCAGGGCAAAATCAGCAATTAGACCAACACACTCTGATTTCGTACCTCGCCACTCCCCTCAACCCCCCCCCCCCCCCCCCCCGCCTTTTTAAACATCCCTTGTCGGCCACCTTAGTGGCAACAAGCATTTACTGGGTCCCCGCTATGTGCCCACCCCTGTGCCAGGAGCTGTGGAGGGCACAAAAGATTCATGAAACTATTTGGTATCTATGATTGCTCCAAAATTGGTTTTGACTTCTTAATAAATGGTAAAATCCCCTGAGGAAAAAACTGAATGAGGACGTTTAAAAGAGCAAGTTTTTCAGAGTAGGAAGAAACTGGTGAATAGCAGGCTGAAGGGCAAACATGTGTGAAAAAAGAACCAATGCAGGGAAAACCAACACTGTGTTAGTGACACATAGGATCTGTGTGCCTGTGAGCAGGAGGACGGCACAGGGGAGGAAGCCTGCAGGCTCCCGGGGACCATCAGGCAGTGCTAGAGGAGGAAGCCCTGCCTTGGGGGCAGCGTGGACCGGAATAGAAGCCGCTGTGTCAGGCAGGTGCAAATTGGAAGTGGGGAGATGCAGAGGCACGATCTGAGGAATACATTTACCCAAATATTGGATAAATAATAAATTATTAAATATGTTAAAAGCTAAAAGGATCTTTGTGTCTGCAAGGCTCTTACATTCAAGAGGGCAAAAATGGCAGGTTGGTCTGGTCTGAGAGGGTGCAGGGAAGGGGATGGAGCCGGTCTGGCTGGACCAGTCCTTCTGGAGATCACCGGGCCCAGGCCACACACAAGTCCCCGGGGAAGTGAAGGAACAAGGCAACAACACCGGGGCGGGAGAGAGGAAGTCCCTGTCCTGCTCTCCTTCTGTGCCCAGGAGCCCAGGGGAGGGAGCTCCCTCTGCCTGGCATGGGAGGTCTGTGCCCACCAAGGCCCTGTTTCCCCCCACCACCCGGGCTGCCCTCAGCCCCTCTCGGCCACTTGGTTTCCCCCCACCAGATGGCTGCGCGAGGGCTGGGAGAGCCCCTTGGAAGGTCGCCTCCTAAGCTCTGTGGCCCCTCTGCCACCACTCTCACTGGTTTCTACCCTGCGGGCAGGAAGGAAAGACTCAGATCCCATGGACAGTTAGGAAAGACTCGGGCCAGACACAGCTCAGCCCCTTGGTCAGCTGGGTGATCTGAGACAAGCGACTCCACAGCTGGTTTGTAAAAGGACAATGAGGATGGTTACACCTCGCTGGGCCCTGCAGGTGCTGTGGCAGGTCTGCTCTGCTAGGGTCTGCACTGGACGCTGGGCGGTCCTGCCCCATGGAAGTGATAGAGTCAGGGGCTCCACCTTTGGCCCCTCCCTACCTGTGTCTCCCCACCTGCTGGGCGTTTCCTCAAGCACCTCAGCAGCTTTAGTTCAGTCCATGGCCATCCTCCTCCTGGGAGATCATTGCTACTATGTCTCTCAGGTTACAGAGCAGGAGGCCGGGGCAGGAGAGGCCGGGGCAGGGAGAGGGGACGAGGGGACACTTGCTCCAATGGATGCCATGCTCGATGTGCTGGCTGCACTCTCCACCCCGACTTCACACGGGACGCAGTAATCGCAGGGGCAGTGTGCAGCTGTCGCCCTGAGAGTCTCTCGCAGCACGGTGGGATTGTTTTTCTCACACATCAAATCCTCACATCATCTTGTTCATGTATTTGCTTACTTGCTTTTTTGCATGGCTCAACGCACTGGGCAGCAGCTTCTACAATAGTTAAGAATGGTATTGGTGTTCCATTCTTCTCTGAGACCAGCAAATTCCCTGCGCACAGTAGATGCTCAGTGTCTCTGTTGGGTGAACAGAACCCCGAGTCCCAGGCAGGTCATGGTTGTTCCCTTTAATGTCTGCCAATCTATTGAGCTTCCCAGCCTCACTTTACTCATCTGTAAAATAGAGTTCATAAGTAGACAACAGAATACTATGCAGGCATAAAAAATGATGTGCGAACATGGAGATGGCAGGAAGAGATATTCCGATGTGGTAAAGGTGGGAAAAAATCAGGCCATAAAATAGCCTGTCAGGGTGACCCTGCAAAGGATGCAGGATGTAGAAATTAAAGGCCCAGGCTATGCTTCCAGGCTGCCTGGTCTTTAACCTGATTTCCCCATTTACTAGCTGTGTGCCCTTTGGTCAATGACACTGTCTGTGCCTCAGGTTTGTTGTCTCTAAAATGAGGATAAGAGTCCACTAAAATGTTGTGAAAATTAATGAGTTAAGATGCTGACTGTGTGTGAGAGGGGTATTAGCACATAGTGCGAACCTATTAAAGAGGATCTGTTGTTATTATTGACTAGAGGTCCCATGCATGAAATTCATGCACAGGTAGAGTCCCTAGGCATGGTGGCGATCCGGGCTGAGCTGTGGGGCGACTGGTGGGGCAATTGGAGGCCCCCCACTGGCACCTGCCTTGGCTGGCCTGGGGCCTGTGGGTTGGGGGGCAGCTCCTGTGTTGAGCATCTGCCCCCTGGTGGTCAATGTGTGTCATAGTGACTAGTCGTTCTGCTGGTCGTTCCACCATTTGGTCTATTTGCATTTTAGGCTTTTATTATATAGGATAACACTACTGTTGTTTCTATGGTTATTGTGATGTGTCAAGTGAACATAAAAGATTGTAAAATGGCATGTACAATATAATCCCATTATTTGAAATAGATGTGTCTATATGACTTGGAGGTATGCAGACTAAAATGTCATGTGATTTCTCTGGCAGATGCTTTTTTCTTATTTTATTTTGCTCTTTCTTCCTTCCCTCTGTCACTCCCTCTTTACCTTCCTTTATGTCTTCCTCCTTTCTTTCTTTAAGAAAACAGGTATTACTTTGTGTCATGAAAAAAATTAAATCAAGACAATAATGTAATACTAAAAATAATGAAATAATAAAATGTGCCAGGCATGCTTCCCAGGCAGTAGAGGCAGTGGGCTCTGGTCTTGATGCTGTCACTATTGGTGTTCGTCAGTACAGGAGGTCTCTGCACCAGGGACACTAAGTAACACTTTCCAGATGCTTTCTAATGTGCCAGGCATTGCTCCCAGCCCCTCACACGCACTACACAATGTAACCCTCTTGGCAGACCTGCCTGATAGGTGCTATCATCCCTGTTACACAGATAAAGAATCCAGGGCTCAGAGAGGTCAAGAATTTTGTCCAAAAGGCTCCAGCCACCAAGGAGGTGGTCCCCAGTCAGGCCTATCTGACTCGGAGCTTGAGGTCTAAAGCCCCATCACTGCAATCATGTGCCCCCAGCCAGAAGCATCAGCATCTTTGAGGAGCTTGCCAGAAAATGCAGAATCTCCGGCCTCATCTCAGCCCTACCAAGCCAGCTCTCCATCCCGACACGATCCCTGGGTGGGTCCCGTGCATGGTCAAGCTTGAGAGACCCTGGTCTGACCTCCATGCTGTGCCAGACTCTTAGGCCACCTGTGCCTGGCTCTGAGGCCTTCCCCTGCCTGTGGTCTCACTGTCCCCATCTCAGCGGGGGAAGTGGTGGAAGCTACCTCCAAACTGCTCTCTCTGGTGACTACTTAGCGGCTCTGGGATGAAGGCTTGAAGAAGAGAAGATGTTTGATTCCACAGACCTGATGCAGAGATGATCCATGGAGTGTCTGTCTAGACCCATGTTATCCCTTTCCAAACAGTGAGCTGCACATAGGATATTTTTGTTATTCAAAGGAAAATAAACACCGCAGGCTTCACAACCAGAAGCCCTGCTGATGGGCTTCAGTGTGGCTCAGGGCGCGCTGATGTAAGGTTTAGCGGCAGAACAGCGAAGGTGCATTCTCCCGGCCTGGCCTGCCGTGGGTGTTTATGGATGATGATGGAATGCAAACAAGCGTTGTTTGGCTCTGAGAGCAGAACCGGGGAAAACTTCATCTAGGCATTTAATTATGCGGGGCAGGGTGGAAATGAGCCTGTATTTCCTCCCCGGCCCACGGCTGGCCACTCTAAATCAAAAGGCATTACGGTGTGTCAGAAGGAGCCGGAACATAACATTTAGCAGAAGTTTTCTGCATTTCTGGCCGTGTTCTTTTCCTGCTAAGGCTGTTTGCACTGTGTAATTCATGGATGGAGGTGAATAATGTGGTTGGCGCGCGGGCTGGCGTGCGCATGCGCGCGCGCACACACACACACGCGCGCGCGCACACACACATTATCCAGATACAGGCTCTTGTAGGGTTTACGTGAGGAAACAGAAAGATCGGATATGGTAATTGGGCATTTAACCCCGCCTAGGTAAAAGAAGGGTTGGCGACGAGCATTTCTCCACGGTTTGTATGTGTAGGGGTTGCACACATAAAGTGGAGGAGCTGGGCCATCGTGCTTGTTTTTGCCAGCTTCTGATGAAATATCAGGGTGCATTCGCTGGTGATGGAGCCAAGGCAGAGAGCTGGAAAGATAAATGATTTAATTCGGGCTGTCAGGTTCTGTTTGTTTGGAAGCAAGGATTCACGAGGAGAAAAAGCACATTAATTGAGGTCTCAAGGTGGTAGTAGAACACATTTTATTACTGCTTTCTGTGCAGGGGGATTGCTTTCTTTTTTTTCTTTATTTTTTTAAAGCTTAGTTTAGTTTATTTGGCCAACTTTTATTGAGTAGGCAGGTCCTGTGCTAGGTGAGAAAACCAAGTAGATAAGAGCAGCTTGCCCAACAGGAGTGGCTCAGTGGTTGAGTGTGGACCTATGAACCAGGAGGTTTCAAAAAACCATGCTAACCGCCAGACTTGGGGTGAGGGCTGCGGTTAGATTGGAGGAATTGGAAGGGGTCATTTTAAGGACCATTGCTTTGATCCAAAGGCAGCAGAAGCCAAGAAAGGGCAGCCATGATTATACATGGGCTTTGAAAAGATTGTACTCTTGGTAGCATGGGGAATGGCTGGTAGAGGGAAGAGTGAATACAGAAGGACCTGTCAGGATTTTACTGGAAGGTCCCGGCAAGAGAGGAAAGTGGCCTGGCCTACCACGGTGATGGAGAGAAATGGACAGAAGTGAAAGTGTTTAAGGGGAAGAAACACTGGATACAAGCTTTGAAGGGGAGAGATATCCAGGTGGTTCATACAACATGGTCCAGACGTCTTCCTAACTGCCTTCCACAAACACAGTGAGCTAGTTTCATGCATGTCTTCAAATGGCACCCAGCACTGACAGGTGTGGTCCAGGAGTGGTCTGAAGAGTACAGGCTTCTGAGGACACCTCATCTCCTGGCATCTAGAGCTTCTAAATTTTATTTTTTATCTCATTTCATTTTAGCAAATGTCAGAGCCATGTCAGACAAGCCAGTGTGACCCGTGATCAGGTCTTGAGTTCAGCCTTTATTGCTTCTCTCCCACTGAACTCCCCTGATCTGCTCTATGGCAGCTATTGTAAATCACCTCATCAGTGTCTATTGCAGCACTTCTTCATTAACTCTGCGGTACTTAAACACCAGAAAGCTGAAAACTACATTTCCCATACCCCTTTGCCAGTAAGGTCATACATGGGATGGTGCCTCCAAGAACACACACCTGCTCCAGACTGACAGGCAGCAATGAGTAGTGTATGGTGGCTGCTAAGTTCTGGCCAACCAGGTGGCAAACCTTCTTGTTATTCCAGGGTGTCAGCTTCTTTCTCTGTTCTTATTAGTAGCATC